AGTTTATTATTTATTTTATAATTGAGGACAACTTTTGTACGCCCTGGTATTACTACGTCTATAAAGACCCAAAGGCACGTATCGTCACTTGTTCCTACAATTGTAGGACGCCTTTATGGCCTCCTTGATTGTCATAGTTTTCTACTTTTCCGTGTCAGCGCTCTATTTTGAGGTTATTTCACAATATCTATTGGCATCACATTGTGCAAGCTTTTGATTTATGTCATGTTTTATCAGCCTGAAATTTCCAACAATTTAAAAAGAAAACATATTTTCACAATAGGAGAGCGGTGACGCTGACACAGAACAGGTGCAATCTAGAAATTTTTGAAGGAGAGAAAGGATTATGACAATCAAGGAGACCATAAAGGCGTCCTACAATTGTAGGAACGACTGACGATAGGCATACATTCGAGTAAACGACATGCCTTATTGCAAGATTGCTTGATGAAAAGGTACTAGAAGTAGATAAGATCTTGCATCCTTCATTATTAGAAATATTTGAGAGAAGATTGGCGAACGTCTAGTCGTTATTTCATTCATGAGTAACGGGAGCCTTAATGACAAACTCACATGAAAAGTACAAGACCCTGGCAGTAGCAAGAAAATGACAGGAAGAATCGTTATTGGGCATGTGTTTAATCAACATTTCTCTTGATCCTGCTAAGTTTGAATGGGTAAGCGCAAATATACGTCAAAAGCTATGTGCCCAAGGCTGGGTATTGATATCTAGTTAGCCTTGGCCATTTGTAATGCACAAAACAAAATATAATTTACTGCAAAAATTCATGTGAATAAGTTTAAGCATTATAAAGCAAGAAATTTTTACTGCCGCCAGTGTGAAAATGGATAAAATGGAATATCGAATCTTCATTAAGTACCTGTATTTGAAGGGGTCACGGGGCAACCAGATTTACGTTGTAGCCTTCGTCGTGACTGCCCTTCATATGTCACTGTAAAAATTGTATTGCTGGCTTCAAAAGAGGAAAGTTATCCATTCAAGATGATGAGCGACCTGGAAAACCCGTTTCAGTGTCAACCCCGGAAAATGTCGTTAGAGTTTATGATTGGATATAATCAGACCGTCGAATTGAAATAAACCTGTAGCTGAGACATCATTCATGTTGACTTGGACATGAAAAAAAATCTGCAAGATGGATTCCCAAATGCCTGAACGCGAATCGGAAGCGAGCACGATGAAAACATTGCGCGCAACCCTAGACCGATTTGAAAAAGACCAACAGGGTTATCACTTAAAAAACCTATCAAATTCGAAAAAGAAACGACAAACTTGTTGACTAAGTAGGCTAATGTGCAAATAGTGCATTTCGAACTTGCTAATAGTTTAGGCAGCAGCGGTGGCCGCAGTAGTAGACTCTTCGGTCTCCTGATCAGTCGCCGTGCGCTGTGCGGGTTCGAGTCCCGTCCCAGGAGAAATTTTGCTCTTGGCTATGGATGTTGTGATTGTCCGTAGGTGGTAGACGGTCTCTGACTGTCGAACGTGGAGGTACCACCCGGCGGATCTCGTAGGCGGAGCCAGAATGTGTGCATGTTGCATGCACACGTGTTCCCTCGCCAGAATCCGTGTGGCGTTCCCCTTTACCCCTGTATCCCCCTATAGCCCCACGGTACTCAATGGGTGTTTAGGCCTTAGGCCTTCGTGGTAGTTGGAATATAAAAAAAGTGAGAACGAAGTAAATGACAGCTAGTTTCAAGTTGCCGTCTTTTAGGAAAAATCTACATAATGACATAAAAAACCTACATAATGTTAGAAAAAACTGAAATAATGTTACTTTTCAAGTTACGTAATACCCCCCATGAACTTTTCAACAGTGTTTGTACTGACCATACGAAACTTGGGTACATTTCTACGATCCTTAGACAAACCTACAATCTATGGAATGGAAGCACTCTATGTCGCCAAGGCCAAAGGAACTTAGTTTGCAAAAGGCTTCTGGAAAAGTTTTTGCATCAGTGTTTTGGGGACCGTCGTGGTGTCATTTTCATTGATTACCTAGGACAGGGAAAGCCATAACAGGAGAAGATTATGCAGCATTATTGTCAAAATTGCGCGAGTAAACTGGTGGAGAAAAGACGCAAAGAGATTTCCAAAGGGGTTGTGTTCTTGCAAGCCAACATCCTCCTTATCACCTGATTTGGCACCTTTCGATTATTATCTGTTTCCGAAGCTAAAAAAAGCTTAAAAGATCGCAAATTTCTTGGAACGACAAGGTGATAGAAGCTGTGGAAACTGGTTTGCGAACTAAGAGGAAACATCTTTCCAAAAGGCTTAGAAGCTCTACAGGATCGAAGTAAAAAATGTGTTGAGTTAAAAGGGACAATTGTTGAATAACAAAATATTTACAGCTCAAAATTTTCAGTATTACTGTAGTAGGCTAAGATATTCATTATCCCTCGTAATAGGTGGATAGAATAACTGGGGTTTGAAGTTTATAAATATACTACCGCCAAAAAATGTTTAAGCGATTCTTATTTTTTTTTCCGATTGTTGCTCATATCTCTACCGTCTCTGGACCGATTTTCAAAACCTACAAATGTTTCTCGTCTTTCGTATAGTAGTAACCTTGTGTGACAATTTCATTAAAATCCGAAGGTGGTACTTTCCATGTTATGGACGGGCCAAGGATAGCGGACAGATAGACCGACAGGACAGACCAACGGAAATGAGTCACACGGTTTTTCGCGTATAGATGAAATAATATCTTACTATCGAAATTTTTGCGATTACAATACTTCCTCGCCAGTGGGCTGGAAGTAAAGACATCATATGACGTTTCTATAAAGAAAAGTTCAACCAGGATTCCTTAAGTAGATAGCCCTCAAGCGAAATAGCTTCTTCTCGAGACTGTCAGATTTAAAGAAACTACGCTGTTCATAAAAGTAATTAAAGTCACTTAGATCCGCCAGGGACGGGACTGGCCTAACGCACTATTGCTTATTTTTTTGCCCCTGCATAATTCTCGCTCATGGATGACATTTTCTGGAAGCTTGATTTTTAAGCTGAAGAAATATGCACCTGTTTAGTGTAATTGATAGGAATCAAGAATAGTTTTTCAGCCAATACAATGACTTTTAGAGAAATAGTTAATCCTTCTTCATGTCCATCATCATTTGATACACTAACTGGTCACTACTCTTACGATAACTACGAGCCCCTTCCCACTTCAGTTGGCCCCAACTATTGAAATTTTTTTTTTTTTTATCAAACACAAATAATAAAAATGTAGCAGGGTGTTATAGATTTAAAATATTAACAATGAATATTTTGATAATATATAGTAGAAAACACCAACTTTATCACTCCCTTATCAAATTGCAACATAAAAATAACACACGCTGCATTACACGTATTTTCATTTCAATGCAAAATAAGTCTATAACGCATAGGTGGCTGTGAAAAATAAAAGCCATGACAATTGTTTTTATTAATCACAGCTGTCAGAATACGTTTAAAATAGTTTTGGGTAGTTAAGGATTTCAAAATGGGTAGAGCAAAGGTTATTAGTGAGAAATTTCGGTTACTGATAATTAAATTGTTCAATTCTGGGGAATCAAACTCAGAAATTGCAACTTTGTTAGACTTATCGCGGTACAGTGTGGTCAGTTAATATTAAGCCACGATATGTGAAAAAAAGTAATATCACAAATGACGACCGAAGAGCATTAGGTAGAATAATCGTGAAAAATAGGCGTGCCAATTATTTACAATTAAGTGCTCTGTGGAGAATTTCGAGGTCCACAACTCATATAGAGGCCCACAAACTGGGATTTAGCCACTTGCAATGTAAGTTTTCTTATAAAAAAGTGAAGTAGTAACAAACCCTAAAGTTGCACAACTTGTTTATAGGCCAAAGAAAAGCCACTATTAACTCCACTGCAAAAGAAAAATCGGCTCAGATGGGCTAAAGAACATAGACACTGGACACCTCAACAATGGAGGTGATGAGGCCCGATTCGAAGTTTGTGTTGGTTGACAGTTATTCGCAAAAAAATGAAGCATTCCATGTTGACTGTCTGAATAGAAAAGTGAAATTTCCAGCATCCATTATGGGTCTGGGGCAGTATGTCATCAAAAAGAGTAGGAAAACTTCATTTTATTGATGGAAATGTGGATACAAACAAATATTTGGCAATTTTAGAAGAATCGCTTTTACCAGTGATGGAAGAATGTTTGACATCCGGCCAAGATTTTGTGTTTCAGCAAGATGGTTGCAGCGTGCCATACCTCAAAAAAAGGCTATAAAATGGATGGAAGAAATAATGTACCACTCTTGAAATGGGTTTCTAGCAGTCCAGATCTGTCACATATTGAAAATTTGTGGCATGAGATGAAAAAAGGTTCTACGACAACATCCTGCTCGTACAATCACCGAACCGAGACAAAAGCTTCAAGAAATATGGGATTGTTTTACAACACAAATTTTGCTAAAATTTGGTTAACACTATGCTCCAAAGAACTTCAGCCGTAATAATAAATAAAGGTGATGTTACCCAATGGTAATCTTTCAATTGTTGCTTTGTTAACTTCGCGCCTTTATTCGCACATTGTTTATTTGTTTAGATGTTCTATTAGTTATAGGTCTAAGTGATTCAAATATGTATTTTTACGACTAGAGTGTATCTAAAATGGTTTTGAGAAAATAAATTGTTTTATAAGTGAATAGTTTCGACATGTTTACTTTATAAAGGCATATTTTGGTACAAATCTTGAAGTGGGCCAACTGAAGTGGGAAGACGCTCGTAGTATGTAAAGAATATACATTGGCTACTAGTCTGTCAAATTTTAATTAGATTGCACAGTGCCGTTCAAAAGTTGTTTAAGAAAAAACCGTTTGCCGGTAGTATGCTTTATGGGACTGTAGCTCACTTTTATAGGCAGCTGTGCCATTATTTTGTTGTATTCTGTGTGCATTCAAGAGATCTTCACTTATTCTGGGACGGCATGTACTTATATGTTAACTAAATTTTGATTCGCCTAGGTGTCAGCACAGGAGACGTCTGGCCCTAGATGGGGCCCCCAGCACAAGGGGGCTCAGGAACTGGCCAATCTGTACAGCAAGACGAAACGCACCCAAGAGTGCGTGTGCGTCGGCATTTGTCTCACCTTGATGGCTGTGAATTTCGTGTTCATCCTTCTCTACATAAGACTGGAGCAGCTCAGCACGGTTTCTGGTAGCGGCAATCTGCGGCATCATCACGGCGGATTTCGCTTCTGGACTGGTGCATTGGGCTGCGGACACTTGGGGCACTGTCGAGCTGCCTATTATAGGTTAAGTGTGGTTTTACTTGATAATTGAAGATACAAGTGAATGAAGGAGACATGTAACAAACTATTGTATGGATAAAATTGACTTTAAACATTTTTTATTGGGACTTTTTGCTTTATTGACATTTTACATATTTAGTTTAATTAGTTTATCTTGTTTTTTGCAACAAAGTAATGACATAATGTAAGAATGACTACTTAGGTTAGTTTTAATGCAAACAATCAATTTTAAAAAAATGTTACATGACACCTTCATCCACTTGTGCCTTCATTTGTCTTCTAGTCCTATGCTAAGTGAAAATGGGTAAAAACTAAAATTCTACCGCCTGGCGGTCTCAACATTCTTTTCTGGATAGGAACTTATCTCAAAGTAGCCTCCCACCATTTACGTGTCACGATGGGTTTGTAACCAACTCAGAGGCAAAGGCGGAAGTAATTGCCAAGATCTTTGCTAACAACTATACCATGGACGTCCCCCCAACGCCCGAGTGCCGTCGATTCAGAGGGTTCTCTACACTATACAGGAAGTAACATTCAGGCACAAGACCGAATGACAGGTGTCCTTGTCGCTTGTCACCAACAAAGTCTCTGATCCGGGCTTAATCCCTGCCGTTGTATTGAAGAGGTGTGAAGCGGAGCTTGCTCCAAATCGTTCGCGTCTCTTCCAGATACCGTACAAATCCGGCACCATTCCAGAAAACTGGAAATCTGCCCATGTCCAAACACATTCCAAGAAAGCGATCTGGGAGCGACCCGACCAACTACAGGCCTATATATCTGCTTTCTGTTATAAGTAAAGTGATGGAGAGATGCATAAGTCACGGCTTGATTAGCGGCAAGCAGAATGGGTTGCGTCAGCAGCGATCCACAGGGGACGTCCTAGCTTACTACGTCACGCAGTTGTGGCGTAAGCTCATCCAGTCTTATGGTGAGGCGCATGTCGTTGCTGTTATACAAAACTTTCATCCTATGGCCTCCATAAAAAGCTTTGCAGATGGTAGCTGACCTTCTCTCTGGCCGCAAGATTTACATATTTCCAGGGACAGTGATATCAAGAAAATTCACACTGCTCCCGAACCTCCAAACTTAATAATAACCGGATTTATTTGCATCTATATGTACAGAAACATAATAAGATGTACTAAAACATAAAAAAGCACCTGCAACAAGGTAGTCTAGGACTGATCAAGGTACCAGCATGTCATCATCACGCGTTAAACTAGCACATAGTAATTAAATATCATCACCAAAATGGAATAAGAACAAGAAAAAGTCTGAGCTCGTCTAGGGACCGTACTACTCGATCTAGGATACTGAAATTTTACAAAGCATAATGTCTTCATAGGTACTCCCCAGAAAAAAAGATTCAGTCCGATTTGAGATATACGAGGTCTGTAAATTAAGTGATGATATGACGACGTAGTGTTCGATCTGGCAACACTGAAGGCGCCGGGTTGGAGGGCAGACAGAGGAGCAATGTGATCCGCTTTCAGTACAAGTTTGAACTCGCTCAAGCCATTTGGTTGTCTGTAGCGATTTTTTTGTGTTCTATAAATGAGTCACATCAATTTCGAGCAACGGTGTGCTATCAGGTTTTGCTTCAGACTCGATCACAGTGCAACGGAAATTCCTGGTAAACCCCAGGAGGCCTACGGAGGTAAAGTTTTGTCAACAGCCCAGGTTTTTCGGTGGCTTACGCCATTTTCAGAAGGAAGACAGTCGATAGAAGATGACCACGAAGCGAAAGGCATTTGACTACAACGCCGTTCATCAGACCAAGAACAACTGGGTGTTGCATCAAGATAATGCTCCATGCTCAGCAATGTCAATAAACAAGTCTTTGTCCAGTAAAAACATTCCTGTGGCTTCTCAGCCTCCCTGTTTGCCTGACTTGAAACCTTGTGATTTTTTCTCTTCCCGAAGTTGAAAAATCACCTCAAGAAACATTTTGGGACAGGCGAAAACATTTAAACGGCTGTAACCGACCAGCTGAAGGCTATTCCAGTATCGGAGTTCCAGCACTGTTATAAGGAGTGGAAGAAACCGTCTCCAACGGTGTGTGGCTATATTTGAATAAAATTAAAAAAAAAACACAGTCTCATCGCTTAATTTACAGGTCTCGTAAGATAGGTCGTAGGTTTTTAGTTTTGACCCAACTACATTCGCGAAGATTATTATTATTATTATTATTATGATAATTGAGATGAGCAGAGTACACAGTACTATAAGCTCATGCAGTAAATATAATGTACTGACACGTAACACAAATACATCAAATAGAAAAAAATAAAAAAAGACTTATAGTTATAGATTATAAGCCTAAAGAGCATAACACTACCAACTTGCCTACTTCATCAAATTTTCAGTATCTATTGCAATGTTCAGGTAACCAAATAAGTTCGTGAGGTTTTTAGTATAAAAATATAAATTTTTATTGAGAAACAATAAGACATTATTTATTCGTCGAAGTTTACTAAGTGACATATAAATCCGAACACCCAGTTTAAATGGTTTTATTTCAATAAAGTTGGTGAATGTATTTATCTTACTGTAAATAACAAGTGAAATAATTTCAACCTTATCAGTTGGACATTCCGGTTTTTATACTGCTTTTTTTAAATCACTAACGCTCTAAAAATGTATTTTCAGCCGCAGTAAAGAATCAACGTTGGCGGATTTTG